TATGAACCTGGCAAATTTAATTAAGCAGGCTCAGTTAACCTGAAAACTTGCATATGCTCTTAATGTTGGACTGTATGGTACTGCCTGTGTCCCATCCTTTAAAGTAGTTCTGTTATGAAGTTAAACATTTAAGCCTCTGCAGCAGGGAGGATGTAGGCCTGAAATCCTGCTCCCACTAAAATCACCAGCAAGATTCACCTTTTCTTTTGGTTTTCAATACTCACTATAGTGATCACAGAAGAAAGTTGCACCTTTTCCTTCCACCTTCTTCCTTGGTAACTTCTGTACTTCAAAATTCATTCACTTTAATTCTGTTCATGATTGTATTATTTGGAAGAAATTGATCTGTATGCCTAAAATGAATCCAGGAGTTATAGGTGTAGTCCTAACGTTCCTCAACCTTGCTTATAAGGTAGCCTTTTCTCTTTAGATTATTTCATATTGCTAAAACTCCTCTTTCCTTACAATTATTTATGCAGTTTTTGGATGTGTTATCTGCTCATATATGTCAGTTCTAATGCCATTTGTTCAGTTCCACTTTTTTTCAAAACCTAAAGAGATATGTATGTCGTGTTTCCTATGACTGCATCTGCTTTTTAGGAGTAACCTCACTAACCTTAACATATAGTTTAAAATTCTTACTTTGTATGAGAAATGAGTTCACAATGCAGCCTTTTCAATGTGAACCTCAAATACTAAAGAGTGAAATAAAAATGTGAAAAAAAATATGTATGGTTTAGATTTAGCTAAAAGGAGCAGGGAATTGGACTTGATACTTTGGGGTTTCTTCCAAATTGAGATAATCTAGGGTTCTAGGGTTTTAATTATTTAAAACTAATTTTTTCCTTGTGCTTTGAAGAGGTTCAGTAACCTGTGCTTGTCATAGGTTTCAGAAAGTCATCAGTAAAAGTAAACATAGCAGATATGTGATCCTTGATATGAGTCTCTGGAAGAAAAGGGAAAGTTTTACCAGGCAGGAGTTCTGCCTACCATTTATCATCAACATTTATAATATGTTCCCAAATAAATTGGGAAACACAATGGGATTTACTTTCAATGTTCTGACTATGTCACCTTGTTTCCCCAGTAATCTCCTAACTAAAAGGAAATCTGCATGTGTTTTCACATTACATCTTTGATTTAGATGCTGATGGACAAGTGAGCGTGAAATTTGGTGTGCTATTTGCTGATGAAAAGTGTGCCAACCTCTTTGAAGCCCTGGTGGGAACTCTTAAGGCTGCAAAACGACGGAAGATTGTCACTTATCAAGGAGAGCTACTTTTACAAGGTGTTCATGACAACGTGGATATCATGCTGCTGCAGAACTGATGCAGTGTTTCAGCTATGCATTAATGGATTTGTTTGAAACAGTGACTTTCCACATCCTCTGAATAAGGCTGATCATTCTGTGGTGTTTTGATGTATTTTATATATCTTTATAGTCAAGAGAAAACTGTCCTATTTTGGAAAACATTCCCTTTTGTAAGTCTTCCTAAAATGGTACTGTATGTGAGTAAGGTGCCAGATCTTTTTCTCCTTTTTTTTTTATTATTATTTTTTTTTAAATCTCAGGTAATTCTCAAATGTCTGGTGGTTATTTTCAACATAAGAAGAATGGAGCTGGTATTTTAATGTTTACAAATCAAAATGTGCCATGGAAGTATAAAATAAAAGCACATACTTAAATTTGTGTAATTCTTATTGCTTTGGTTTCTCTTTTTATTTGTAATCTGAAATGAAAGCAAACTGAATTCGTGCAAGGAACATATTTAGGCAACTGTACAGAAAGCATGGCAGTGAGACAGAAATAATTTTGTATCATGATTCAGTAGAAGAATGACTGTCCTTCAGAGTGACCAAATTGTACGCAAAAAGGCACGAATGTTAGGTGTACCTCATTCATCTCTGGCAGTGTCATATGCTTTCATTTTCTTGTCCTCTAGACTTTTGAAGGAGGTGGGTGAGAAGCTCCCTCAATGCTTTCATGGGATGTAACCAGAAGTTGGTACAGCAGCTTCAGATTATTTTTCTCAAAGAAATCATACTTTCTCTAAATCACTGCAGGCAGAAAGTGAGAGGGGAGCAAAAAAACCTCTTTTGATTGTTTTCTAGCTTACTGCTAATTCTTCTTAGCAGGTAAAAATGCTCTCTCCAGTAGGGAGAAAGAGTTGTTGCATGAGGAAAGCAGCAGTGGGTAAGTAAACTGCTTACACTCTGCAGCTGCAGCTCTTAAAGTTGTAGGATGGGTGAATTTCCCTTTATTTAGCAGCGTTATACAAGTGCAAAATGCTTGAAAAGTGCCTCCTTTTTTCCAGATACAGGAAAAGCGTGCATGGTTATGGAATCTCTACAAAGCTGTGTCAATCCAGCTGCCATCCTTGTTTGCTCTGCTTTACACAACAGGAAGACAACTTAGATCCTGTATGCAAACAGATCTGGGCTGCCTTTGCCTGTGCTGGCCTTGGAATCCGGAGAGCAGGGAAGTGATACGCAGAGAAACTTGAGCTGTCTGGGTCTAAGCCAGCTGGAGTGGAGAAGCAGAGCCAGGAGCTCAGCACAGCTTACTGGCTCCAGTGCTCTGTCACTCTGGTGCAGCAATTCTGCTTTCAGACCTGAGCTGGCAAGTGCCTGCACCCCTGCATTCCAAAGGTGGAAAGAAAGGGGACAGACACACAGGCCTTCAGCTGGAGGGGTGAGACCAGACAGCTCTGCATAACCAGATAATCACAGTCTTCTGCTTCTGTTTTGTCGAAAGCCTGAGTCATTGTCTGGGTTCACAGGGTAGCCTGAATATGCTCACTGATTTTTTTGTGATTGTCTGAGATGCCAATTTTGGTACAGAGGGCACCAAACCTGCCCCAACCAGGATGTAGTTCTCTGTGCATGCTTGTGACAGTTCTTAAAATGCTGAAGGAGGCTCAGCCTTGAAAATTTAGTGAAAACAAAACAACCGAACCAGTAAATGTAAGGCTCAGTGGTGAGCTGGAGTTGTGATGGGCCTACGAAGAGACCTTTATGTATCTCATTTAAGATTTATCTTAACAGTACTAACAAAAGTGCTCAGGGCTTCTGGGAGCACCACGTAGAAAGCGACAGAGAAACTTTGCATTAAAACAAACCTGTAACAATCAGAGAAGAATGTGACTTGTGTACTGCCTGGGGCAGTTTAGATTCATTTTGCCTCTGCTTCTGAAAGCAGAAGAAGAACAAAATTACCGAGGATTTATATCCAAGAATTTGTCCTCAGTACAAAGTTTAATGTATCTTCTGGCCCCAGAACTGTGTAGGGTTCTTTACTTCAGGTTAATATACAACAGCTGTTGATTTATTTTCTTTTTTTTTTTTTTCCTGAGAAAATCATATGCTAACATTTCTTCACATGCATGGGATCATACATCTGTTAAGGAAATAATTACCAGAGCAAAAGGCCTGGACATAAGATGCAGTTCCTGGAGCACTTGACACAATAATAGAAAGGTTGACTATGGGGAAAGCATTACCTCTTTCTGTAAACAGTAGTACAATCAGCATTTCCCTGTGATGGGTTCATGACCTTGCCAACTGTGGGTCTGAAGGAAGTTTGTAGGTCAGCCAGGAGCATCAGTGATTCCAAAATAGAAAGTAATTCTCCTGACTGTGAGGAAGTAGGAGGAATCAGAGATCTTTTATAACAGCATAAGAGCTGTTAGTGGAGCTGTTACCTGCATGTGATAATGCTGGGAAATTAGCAAAGGTGTAGCTCAATTAAGTTCAGACTCTATAAGATCTAAGAGCATGGTAGAACCTTGAAAAGAGGGTAGATGAGCTCTGGGCAAATCTGGCTGGTACAATTTTAGATGTTATCAGTGCATGTCTTCAGCTGGGACTGTTAAGAGTAACTGATGGAGTGTGTGCACTTACCTGAGCTGTTTCCATGCAAAATCCAGTGACTGAAGATAAACATGCTCTTCAAAGCAGTTTTGACTGAGCTGTGAAGTTGCTGAGGTGCAGGTCTTCATAAGCACTTGTGAAAGGTGGTGACATCTTAAACTTTGCAGCTATTTCTTTTGTGAGCATAGTTCTTTTGCTGGGAGCATGAGCAAAGCAAGGATTGAAATGTATGCAACGCTATCTTTTACGTGCGTCTCTCCTGTTGGAATGAATTTTGAAAATGCGTGTTGTGTTTTGCTTGTTTCTCGTGTCTGGTCCAAAGATTTGCTGGAGATGTTCTTTCTGCTTCAAGGGATTTCTCTTGGTGACAGCAATGTCACTTTTACCATTCATATTTCTGTAAAGCTGATTATTTTTGCCACAAAAAAACACTTGAAGGAAAGAACAAGGGTAAGAGGAGCAGGGAACTCTAACATGCAGAAAACTTATTATATTACCAGTAATATTAGTGGTTTTATTTAAGGTTAGTTGGATATTTTAGGAACAGGCTGAAATTCTCCTCAACTCCAGCAGCACAAAATGCTAAGTATATTAAAACAGTTGCAGAACCTTTGCTAAGATGACACAACATGAACCAAGGACTGGCCTTAGGGCTCCATATTAAAACATTAACCCTTAATGTTATCTTTGCATCACCTCCACCTAATATAAAAACCATTCCTAAATGTTTGTTCGACACTCCGCAGCATAATTGATGTTCAGCATTACTTGAAAATCCTCTATCTGATAACTGTGTTATGGGAATCATGCTTTCAAGGACTTAAAAAAAGCCCAGTGTGTTTTTTTGGAAGCTGGCAAAGTCAGTAATTTTGCAAAATTCATGTTCTTGTTCATATCCTTCTTGAGAAAGTATGGGACGTTTGGTCTGTTATGGATCTCTTTTGCTGATGTGTAAGAAAGTGATTCATTCTAAAGTCAGCCACAAGAAGTAGAACTAAATATGAACAGAGCAACTTGAAGGAAAATGAGCTCCAACACCAAAAAAAGGTATTTCAGTTCTCTGACTGTTGTTTGGAGCAGGTGATCTGAATAGATTGAGGAATAGGAGTTTGGTGGCCCAGAGGCATATTTAGGCCTGGATACCTTTAAGGACCAAAGTCAGTGTGACATACTTTGTTTTGAAACCCAAGAAGGGATAATACATGCCAGAATACTGGGGGCCAGGGGGCAGGTGCGGGGGGGTGTGTGTTCTGCTTTCCTACAGACCAGTTAATTTTTTACTTTGTAAATGGTCTGTTACGCTTATGGAAAAGACCCAAACTGTCCCCTTCAGTGCATTTATTATGTACCAGAGAAAAAGACAAGTTCAAAAGTACTGATTAGTGCTCTCCAATACATGCAGGCAGGATCCCAGTCAAGACTGTTGATGTTACAGGTGATGCTAAGAAACAATGATCTACCTTTGCTCAAAGAGCCAGCACCCACATCAATTTAGATCTCCTAAGGAAAGATATCTTTACCATTTTGATCTGAAATATCATTCTCCAAAAAAATCAAGAGCAGGTTGAAGAACTGCTCCAGTCCACTGATTTCCAGGAATTTCTATGGTCAAAATTTCCAGGTACTTCTGTTTTAAAAATAAATTGAATGGGTTAATTGAGGATAAGTGCTTGACAGTGTTTCTAGAAAGCAGCGTTTTTAGGTTCTAGTTACATAAACTGCTCTAATGTGAAATTATTCCAATAAAGTTTTACTGAGGGTGGCAGTTCAGTTTAGTTCTGCCATTCTGCATACAGCTTTAGCCAGAAATGCACTGTAGATGCATATTTAAGCCGCTGAAGTTAGTCTGCTGACAGGTATTTTGAATAACGCACCAGAAGCAGCATTATCTTGTGGTGGAGCCTAGATGTCATTGCAGATTATGCTTATCTCTGCCAGACCACCTGGGAGACTCAGAGAGGTTAAATAGCAGTCTGGTAACCTAGAGAGGGAGTAGTGTGACCTACACCCTCCAGAGTCTTGTCAAATCAAACCCAATGAAATGTCCTTTCAGAGAAATGCTTAGAGTTATACCTGAGCATTTCCCAGTACAGCATTTTCACAAATACAGCAGCATTATGTCCATCACCTTGCTCCTATTTGGAGCTTATTCCTGCACAACCATTGTAAGCTGAGTGACACTAAGAGTGTTGCTGCCACCTTGCCATGCTTAAAGCTGTTCTCCAGAGAGGACAATTGTGTGTACCATGTAACTGTGTATGCATACTGTGCATGTGTATTAGTATAACAGGTACTTAAAACCTATTTTTTTCTGATTGGGGAAACACTAAAATGACAATTATGTTTGAATGGGAATATAGTGACCTGCATTTTCTGGTCTTTGCTAAGTCTGCTAAGTGCCAAGGAATATCATGTTAGAGTAATTAATATCTGTATCTTGCAGAATCAGGTCTTTTGTTAAGCTTTGGTAATAGAAGATGTATTACTGCCAGGTCTATGAGTGAAGAGGCCTTGCTCTGTCTCTACAGCTAACGTTCTGAAGAGCTTCCTTTATAAACTTGTATTTTGGAGCACAGTATGATTTTCTTGGAAATCTGCTTTCAGTTTTCTTAGGGAAAAAAAAAAGATAGTCAACAGCAGTTGAAGACACCATCATTCATCAGGACTTCAGGACTATGTGGCAGTTCACACAGAAGTCAAGATACAAACATGGAAATAATTGCATTGCAGGTACTTTCAGTAGCATTGGAATACTTGAATTCAAGTATGTGACATTTGCAAGGTACTCTGATATATCCAGAGTCAAACCTAAGGTTTGACTGGAAAACTTTGCTGGGACCCTAAAATCAGGTGAGGCTTCATACACCCAGAGGCACTGCCACCTTCTCTGAGCTGAACACCAAAGTGCCTGTCTCAGACATCTGTCCACAGGGGATCAGCACACACGTCTGAAGCATTGTAGAATGTATCCACCAGGATCTTGTGCTGGGAAGCAGGGACACTGAGTAGTCCTCAGCTTTATGCAAAAATGTCTGATTTTCTCCTTAAGCACCCACTAAGAGACTTTTCATGATCTTGGCGAATGGTTCTGGCTTGAAGAGTGTGGGAGCATCAGCAGCAAGTGGGCACAGGTTCCTGCCAGGCCTCTGCATGGCACATGGTGTGCAAAAGAACGTCAGCAGGTGAAATCACTGCATAAAAAACTGTGCCTCAGACTCCTTGGGAAGCTGGTTTGGGCTTCTGTTGTCAAGCAACACCAAGGCTGAATGGTTTGCTCAGAGACAAGAGTGGGATTCCCTAACCTGTGTCTTTGTGTTGTGGAATACAATGCTGCTCTGTGTGCTGACATTTGCATTGTGTTACATTCAAGCAAGCACAGTCAGCTGTCCTGATAGTGGGGAAGTGTCATAGTGGGACTTCTCAGAATTGTTTTCTTCTCTATAAACACTTCTGGCAGTTTATAGAATCATAGAATATTCCTAGTTGGAAGGCATCCATAAGTTTGTAGCACACATCAGGTTGATTTCCTCTCAAACACCTTGCATAGTAAGAAAAATAGCTCCCAATTATGCTTGGGACCCCATTCATAGATGTACACCCTAGTAAAGGTCTTGACAGTTTTGTTAACATTACTGAACAAATCTTGTCTAAAAAGTGTAACAATGTGTGGCCCAGAAAATGAAGGGTTAAAAAATGGCAACACTTCAGCCCCACTGCCATTACTAAGATTAGACCTGTATGCAACGTGCTTCCCTTACATTTTTAAAGCAGCCAAAGACAGCAGGGTTTGCACTTGGATGTAGAAGTCAGACCTTCCTCTGTGCAGTCTGCAGCCTGTGCACCAGCAGGATGTTGTGGTAGGTGACAGCCAGGGGTGAAACACTTCTGCAGAGAAGGAAACAAAACTAGTTCACGTCAGCAGAAGCAAGAGGGAGTAAACGGTATAAACAGTGCAAACTAAATGATACTGCAGATTTTTGCTTTATGGCAATCCAGACTGCTAGTGATCATGCAAGCACATATTTTAAATTGCTATGTAGATAACCTCCATTTTAAACAAAAAAAGAAACATCACTGAAACTGTCTAGAAAACTCCTGACTGGAGCCATACCTTGCAAGCTGCATGTGCTGCTATTAAGTCTCATGTAAATCTCATTTACTCCCCTGTAAATGTAAAAAATGAAAATAATCATCTTTGCATTATTAGTTACAGATGATGGCAATGATCTTGGCCAGCTAGTGATGTCTTGAGGGTATGCAGACAGTTGGCACTTCATCTATTTATAATAATTTCTAAAATGGCAGTGCCATCCCTTCACTCCCACTTTACTTCTCCCACACACACTCAGCATTTTATGAGTCAGGCTGCAAAAATATCAAGAGGCTGATGCAAAAGTTAGATTTGGGAAAGTTCTTTTTTAAAGAAGGCTTGAGGTGCTTTTTCTTTGCCTTCCTTATTTTCTGGCTATGAATGGGTCATACTTCCAAGCTGCTGTCTGCAGTACAAGGACAATGTTTTCATTAAATCTGAAATCTGAGAGTATTGAATGGTTAAGGTGAAGCCACAGAAGAAATCAGTTTTTTTACACCAGACTTCTAAGAATGCTTTTGTATTTCATAGAATCTTTATTTTTTAACAAACATCTGTAAGTCAGTGGGATGGCTCATATAAGATCAAGCCATGTATTAGGCTGTGGCTATAGAAGCAAGAGGACAACCAGTGTGAAAATCATGAGTCTTATCACTGCACTCACTACTTACACATGTTTCCATCCTCAGCACAGACAGGACACATCAGGCCATTCAGGCATAACCTCATGATCCTGTGGCTTCATAATCATAGTAGTTAGGGACCAGATGATATCAAGGCCACAGCTTGGACATACAGTCATACTGTAGACACATTTGTCTCATGAGAGAGGTTTATATTACCATCTTAACCCATTAGCATTACTGTTTGAAAGAATATACCTGCCATGAAATGTGTTTCAGGTTTAAAGGTTCACTGGGGTCGTACAGGTGTGAAGGCTGCTGAGTGACCTGGTCTCCTGGTGGCTGGAAGGCAGCAATCCTGGGGGACAAACCCAGAATGAAACTCCTGAGTAAACCTGAGGTTCTGCTGGGTGCTCAGCCCGGTCCTGCCCATGACTGTGAGAAGGGACTGTGCTCTGGGGACACTGTTGTCTCTCTGCTGTGGGTACAGCCATGAAGCTCCTCCTCACTTGGAGGCCCACAGGGTGAGAGGTGGGCATGAGGCCTCCGCCTTCTGCCTCTGAGATGTGCCTTTTGGGGTGACTATCCAGCAGGGTGATATCTCTGAGCTGGTTGGAGAAGGTAAAGTGTGAGTTTGTGTTTCTGTAACACCAGCGGTCCATTTTACAAGTATCTATATTTTTTGTTTTACTTTGTGTCTCTAGCGTATGCCCAAGAAGCATAATGCTACTTGTTATACTGTGAAACATCTCTATCTTTGCATAATGGGTAGACAAAATAGCCTTTTGAATTCTTAGCCCATAAACACCAGAAAAGGCTGTCATAAAGGCATCAGATCATAGAGCCCATCCCTGTGGCTTTCCAGGTAGCACCAGGGCTTTTTGGTGGAAACTCTCCAGTGTAAGTATTGTACCTTTGAATTTGTGCAGTTGTGCACCACTAACCTGGTCCTGACTAGGTTAACCATGTGTGTGGCACAGCACAGGCCTAAGACTGCTCAGGTTTTCTATTATGTAGGAACTATATCACATAGACTTAGGATATTAACAGGTGCTTAATCCTACTGGATGTCATGATCTGTTTCTGTGCCTTCCTCTTCTTACAAAATCTTGGTCTCTTCTGATTTCCAGAGCTGCCAGACACTCTAATGTTGGCCCATGTTATACCGACCCACGCATTTTGTTTTCTGCCTTGAACTGCCAATTCACTGTCCATGAAGCAGACTGAGGGAGCTGTGGTTACAGTCAGGGAGGAAGTGTGTAGCGGTGGCAGGGACATGACTGAGTTTTGTAATGTTCACTTGCTTTATTCCAAAAGACATGTAGTCTCTCCTGTAGTCTCCTGCCTTTCCTTTTTGCAGAAGTATCATTTCCTACATGGTGAAGCAAATGAAGCAAGGAGCCTCATTAATTCCCAATCTTGCTTCTTTTTCTTATCGCTGTTCTCACTATATGACAAAATCCCTGTGAGGAAAAAAAAAGTAATAACATTTAATTAAAGGTTATCTTCCATTGTATATACACTAGGATCCAAATTAAGGTGCCATGGAAGGTGTCATTTATAATTCTAGAATGTTTAACCTCAGTCTAGAACATATTATATAAGTGCTATATGATGAACATATATACTTATTGATAAGCATTATCTCCATGTTGCTGAGCATTTTTACATACAAGTCTTCCATGAGGAAGATGAATAAGCAGGGTCTCACTCTGGATCCCTGTAGGAGTTGTTCTTGGTAGCATACTCTGTCCTCCCCCTTCACAAAGGGGTCATGCTGTGTTATTCTGGAAGGATATTGGTGGGGCAAACGCAGATGGCAGAAGGACTGCATCCACCTGAAAAATGCTATTTGTCATCAAAGCTTGAATAGAACTCCACGGAGGGCAGGCAGCACACTTGTCATCACTACCCCTTCCAGACTTGCATGGGCTTGCTATGAGGCAGAAGTAGCACTGAGCTCCTCTAGAAAAGGTCAGATCTCTTTTGCAACAGCAAAGACTAATTAAGTTAAATATGCAAGTCCTTACAATCTGCACCTAGAAGTTTGGTTTGGTCTCTCATATCATTCTTAGTGCTGATCTAAGTCATGGCAAAAGGCAGGGAAACTTCTGCAGAAGAATGATTTTGGTGTGCTTAGAAATTTGGTAAACTTAGAAATGTGGTTTATACTTTTTTCTATGGATACACAATGGCTTTTCGAAGCAAATGTAATGTTTAAACATCCTGTTTGATCCCATGTCACTAATTACATCTTACTGAGCATCACCAATTGACAGGTGTTTGTTCCTAAATCATTTTTTTACAGATTTCCTTTCTTAACATTTCCTATTAGCACAGTACTAGGTCTCAGATAGTGGAAGTCTTTCATAAATAATATATAAACTGAATGAAAACTGTGTTTTCCCTCTGTTCCTCAAGAATGCCTGTGAGCAAGGCTAGAGGATGATAGTACTTTCCTACTCTCTGGCTGATGTTGCCTGTAGGAATGATACTGCTGTTCTTCCACTCTTTTTTCACTTCCATTTTATGTAACTTCCACAATTTTGCGAGTGTCCTTCATCTTTCTATCTTTTTTTTCTGCTTATTATAGCAAGGCAATCTCATGGAAGCAAGAAAATTGTATCTCCAGCTTCTTTCTCCTTGCAGAACAGAGCGTTTGTTCATTGCGCCTTTCCACAGTGATGGCAAAATGATGTACAATTATTACTAGATCAGAAAAGGTGTTTGTGCTCAGTTTGCACAACAGCAGGTGATTACATCAAGTGCAAACTGCTGTATGATTAGGCCCAGTGTTTCTAAATATATGCGGAGCTACAAAGGGTAAGTTTTATTGGAAGTTTTCCAGCAGAAGGTATTTGATCTTACAGCTTGTACTTTGATGTTTGTTGAATATGTTTCAATCAGAGCTGTAGGTTTGGACTTAACATATTCAAAGCAGTTTGAATCTTTCAAGATCATGACTTTTTTCCATTTCCAAACCCAATGGCTTCAAATCATCACATTCCACCACAGCTGAAGTGATTTATATGTCTTAGTGCTGCAAACTGCAGTCTTCCAACCTGGAACTCTCTCCACAAATTATTAACGTTCCCCAATGATTTCAAATCACTTTGCACTCTGTAAAAAGGGCTAGGCAATTTAACACCCTTAAAAACTCCTTATGTTTGGCAGAGGTTTATGTTTAAATCCTAGGCATGTAGAAAATCAGGCTGATACAAACCACAAGATGTATTATTTTGTACCTTTGAATGTGAAAGGTATTTCCCAAGTTTTTTTGCTCTGTTAGTCAGCTAAATGTGTCAGAGTCTAAAATTACTCTCTGCCTCTTAAACTTCAGCAAGTTCTTGTAAAACAAGTCAAGAAAACTGGTGGGATTTTTTTTGTCATAAAATGCAAACTCTGCCACTATTATATTTTGCTTTCCTAAATTACAAACTGTTTCTCACTACCGTTTCTTCTGTCCTTTATCTTCTCCACAGACTGTACAGAATCTCCTGTTCAGCATGGGGCATTGTTTATATAGACAAGAGGGTGGTTCTGAGACCACACAAAGCAGATTCAAAGCTGCATTCAAGGATTAGAGTAAATCTGTTGGATTTCTTCCTCCTCTTCCCTTTCTACAATCTGGTAAAATGAGGGGACTCTAACAGCATGTTACTCTAACAGCATGTGAGGTGGTATCAGTGGGTGCTGATGTGTTGGTTGTAAGCAGATGGGCCTTCCAGATTAGTTGCCAGTGGATGCAAAAGTATTTGCACAGGTGGAGTAACAACAGTCCAGTGTGGGAATTCTCCTGTTTTTTTGGTTTGTTTTGTTGTTATTGTTGTTGTTTGTTTGGGTTTTTTGTTTGTTTTGGTTGTTTGTTTTGGTGTTTTTTTGTTTGTTTGTTTGTTTTTAATGTGAAACAGTCTATCCTTCTACTTTCTGGAAAGAAAAGGGCAGAGCTTACTGCCTTCCCTAACCGGTTGCAAACGCAAGCTCTGTCCCCTCTACCCTTACACACATAAATACTACCTTCACTCATGCTGGTTTTGTCTGGAGATGAACTGCTTCAGCTGGTTCAAATTCTTTTCTCTTCCTCGTATTCCTTTTGCTCTGCACTTTTGTTTCCCCATACAGCTGGAGTCCCTGCTGGTCTTTTGGATCACCAGAATTTTGTCACTGACCTAGTAATGTCCACAGAGACCTAACCCTTGTTATTAGTACTCGTGAATGTAAGTGCCAAAATCTATGTGTTTGCCTTATCTCATCAAACTGGAGCTAAATTCTGGTGTGTCAGCACATTGCTGCCACATCACTCAGTCAGTCCCCTCAAGGCTATAATGAAGGGCAATATCAAGCCATGTACAATAGTTGTGGTACAAAGTGCAAAGCGCAAAGCTTCTTTGATAAAAGGATTCCCTTTGAGTATGTGACTAGGGGATTTCAGCAAAACCTCTGAGAGCAAACAAGCCGGACCACATAGTTCTTTTATAGCACAGAGAATTACTGATGTGTTAGTAGGATAAATCAAATGTCAGCTCTCCCAGACCACCAGGTTTGGCCAAGCATCTTATTTTCTCTGCTAAGTTTGATGTTGTGTTTTTAAAATTTATTTAGTTAGTTACTACATATTCTTTCTTCCATGACACACTGTTATTTGGTGTGTCTGCTTTTTTGCTACTATAGAAGTAACCAGAATCCCCTGGAACTACTGCATGGGGCTCCTTGAGACCTTAATTCGTCTCAACAAAGAAAGAACAAGTTACAAGAAGCCAAAAGTTAGGAAGTGCAATGTGCTCCTCACAAAGAGGGACCACATGGGATATCATGACAGGTTGGCTGCCACCTTGCCCTGCTCCAGAGGAGTTAACTTGAGTCTGACTCTGACAGAGATCCGTTGTGTTGCCTGAGGGGAGCAGGATGAAAGCTGGCATAGTAGAAATCTTGGATAGCTGTTTCCCAGCCCTGGCACTGGCCCCAGCTCTTTCTGTGACTTGTTTTTCCCATATGTAAGGTGAGGGTTTCAGTATTTACTTACTTGGCAAGGTAAAATTATGATTAATTTGTCTTGGTTTTTGCAGTCTGATGTACAGAGTGTGATTACTTGCAATGTGTGCACACATCATCCCCTGGGCAGACCGCCTTCAGGCTGTTCTCGGCAGCATGAGCATGAACCCCAGCAGGAGCAGCTGCTTTCAACTCCTCCTGAACCAGAGAGGGAGGTGCCTGGATTTTCCCTTCCTCAGTCCCACACAAAGGTGGTTGTTTGTCTTTCACCTGAAGGTTTAGTGCAGATATGGGTGTTAACCACTCCTCAGCTTCTGGGCTGGCCCTGTGTGTGGTGATGAAGATCCAGTGGATGTGAACTGGCATTCATAGGTGGCCAATTGCATTACAGATTGCCCAGAAATATGAAATTTCCAGCAGGACAATGTCATTGTCCTTCAGTCAGGACAATGCCCCTCATGAAGACAAATTTCAATCGAACTGGAACAGTATTCTTTGAGTATAATGAGACATAATGCAAAAAGATTGCGATGACAACTATATAAATCAGCACAGCAGTTAATGGGAACACCCCACAGGCCATTCACACGTAAGCTTCCATTAACTGGTCTTAATTCTGTGACTTCCTTTTTTTCCTGCTTCACTGCAAAGGATTTTCAAGTCTGGACATTAAATCTATCTGAGTTTTGTAGCAGAGAAGTGAACAACACTGCAATCTAAATTTAAACTCAATACTTGACAGCCTACTCTTTCTGATTAGAGCTAAGGGAACTTAGGGGAGAAAAAAAAAAATCAAAGCTCAGTTCTTCCAAGAAACTTCATCTCTTCTCAGTGTTTCCAAAGACTGAATATCACCTTCACTCTCTCTGCCCTTTTTATCATGTGCCTGGGGCTATACTCCATAAATTCTCTGTGGATTCACTAGAATTGCTAGAGTATGTGGCATTGCTACAGGTTCCAATGCCAGCTTCTCTTTTCTGTAGTGCAGAGGTCTATAGGTACAGAAAAGCGGGAAGGAGCTTTAATGATCTACCCCAAAGCCCCCAGTCTTACTTGGAGATATCAAGGAATGATGGTAAATTAGATAATGAAAAATACCTCAATTTTTTTTCTCCTTCCTGGCTCATAGAAGATTTTTTTTTCCTGCTGGAAATTACATATATACTACAATTTCGTTATTATAATTTACACTGAGTTCATGCGTGTTTCCTGGTTTGAAGCTTTGTGATACTCAACCCACTTTTCCTTTGAGAATTGAAAAAGACTTCTGCTTCTTACAGGAAGAAGAGACCTTTCAGTCTGTGACAGGAATGGTATTGAGGTTAAGTCTGGCAGCAATGGCTGTGCCAAGTAGAGATGCTGTTGGCATATCTGTATTACCTTTGTGTACTTTATCACCTTTGGCCCTCCCTATCCTGCCCACATCAACCCAGCTATTACTTGTGGCAGAAGTGTATTGAGTTGTTACCTAATGAAGTGTGCTGCTGCAAATCACAAATCTCAGATGTTCATAGCAGCAGCCAGGCCCAGAGTAACAAATGCCCTCACATTAATGGTATTTTTCTATGGTGAAGCAAGTACATTGGGCATTCTCTCATCTTCTCGTTTTTGAATTTTCAGATTGCCCTGAAAGCTTCTTTTCAACTTTTCACTGAAATTATCTGAGGTGACCCTTGTTAATTTGATGCTGTACCCAGCAGTGGGGACTTGGAGAGACCTCAGGCTGCAATACCCACTGCCTGGATTGCATATAAGCAGCCCAGGAGGACCCAAGAGGGAGTAGGCAAAGCCAAGCATAATTTAGGGTGTGAGTAAGCACGGGGAGGATGGTGCTGGGAAAATCTCCTGGGATCTTGCTGTTCGGAGAGCTGACAACTGGCCACGCCAGACCCCCTTCTGAGAAGCTGTCTCCAGCTTGCTGGTTTCTGCCTTGTTCAAGGAAGCAAAGTCTTGTACATTGTTTGTAAACAAGTGGAGCTGTGTCAAAGACACCCATGTCTCTTATCATTACTCTTCCTAACAGAAAATTACTACAGGACCTTGAATTTTGGCTAAGCTCTGAGGTTAAAGCACAAAAAGAAGAGAAACACTAAAATACACAAGGTTTGCCTGGTTCTCTTCAGGCATCCTGCAAGTTTAATTTTCTATTCCGCCTTACCCCCTGCCTGAGGCACCACATTGTCTATAATGCAGGATTCACTTGGGAATGTACTTTCTCTTGGAAGTGATCCTTCCTTGGTATTTTTGATTATTTTTTTTCCCCCTGGAACTTGCCATTTACGGGAAATATTAATGATTTCTGAGTTTGATACAATACGGGCCAAAGCTGAAAATGAAAATAGAAAACAAAGATATTGTCCTTGAGCTGGGATTACAGCCTTTTCAGACAGCTTCATCTAACCAGAACACTCCTGGAAAACTGTATGCATTTTTGTATAATTTCAGGACAGCACTATGAGGCTCTTAAAAGTTGCTCTGTAAATGCATAATGCCGATAATTTCTCAATGTAAGGCTTGCTTTTATCCATGGATTTCAAGAAATTTCACAAAGGACAGCCATATCATGGTCCCATTATTCTAATGAACGTGAGATTTTAAACTAGAAAAAATTATTTGCTCAGTATCATACCATAAGTGTGTGGAATTGCTGGGAAGAGAAGGCAGATCTCCTGGAAGAAAAGTCAATATTCAGAAAAAATAGGCAGCAGTCCCTATCCCTGTATCTCAGCATGAACTGAAGGTTTCACTGGCTATGTACACAATTTTGAGTCACTAATACTGGAATTGATGAGCGAGCTCTCCCAAAGCTTGCTGTTTCATTTATTCATTGGATTTAGTACTGTATTTACAGCATCCCAGTTTTCTTGTTGGCCTGTAGAACAAAATGGACTATTCTGCAGACCTGAGTCTATGCAAAGAATGATACACTATTTATTCCCACTATAAAACTGGGAAAATAAGAAAAAACTAAGCTCCCTTTGGCATCTACTGACTCAAGTTGGATTAGTACAGAGCAAAAGGTCAAAATACTGGCAAATTCCTTCTCTCAGCTGGGGGGAAGCGAGCAGAAACCTCAGAGGCAGAAAGTACATTCTTCAAGGGGGAATTTTGATGGATAATACAAATGAGTTGAAAAAGAAGGGGAGGAAAATCCTGTTGATTTAAGTTAAATGTAACAGCCATAGTTATGAGTAGGTTTTGTCTCCATTTCTTAATAGTAAAAAAGAATTGAGAGTAAAACAATTAGTCAAAAATTATTAATTTAAAAACAATTAGTTGAAATAGATCGGTGCATGACATCATCAAGGCTAAGAAAATATTTTCTGAGTTTAATTTCTCTTTCTATTGCATTGTTTTCATACAGCTGTGAATTATATGTCTTTCTTTCTGACAACATATCTTGTTCTAAGCAATTTTTAAAACCCTCAAAATGAATGTTTGGTGAACAGTTGAACTTGAAAACAGATCCAGAATTTCCCTGAAAACCCAGACAGACTTATTTGCTTTTTAAATGGGAAATTATGGATTTCATTTGATTTCATTCCGAAAGCAAATGACTGAGACCTGATCCTTAGTTGACTCCTGAGGCCTTGTGACATTTAATAGGCAAATCTTCTTTCCTATGCCATCAGTTCATTATGGATGAACTGCAGCATTCTCAGCAGCATTCTCCCTTCCCTTCCCTTCCCTTCCCTTCCCTTCCCTTCCCTTCCCTTCC